TCCTACAAGGATCCGGCAATTAACGCTTCCGGGATCTAATTGCTTCCCGCCTCGACAAAAATAAGCAGGGAAGTCCCTGCAGAGTTCTCGATTTGATGCTCGTCTGGACCGCTCCATCTGCAACACCATCAGCTTGCTAACACCAACTGAGTAAATGTACTCTGGTTCAATTGATGTCTTGAAGGGATTTCTATTGAAGCTTCAATGACAATGTTGTAAACTAAAGAGGCTTCACCGACGATTTTCGTCGGCACTGTACTCGACGATGTACGGAACCGCCAAGGACCTTTATTTAATTGAGGCTATGCTGGGGTATCTTAGATAGGAAACAAGTGTCTTTCCTCCTGAGTTCCGTTTCGACGTTTTTGAGGGGTTCTGTAACTACAACAGCTCGTACTAGGGGGTTGATATCATGATCAGTGGTATGACACGTTCACCAGATGCCAAGAGACAATGCAGACTTGATCATGCCATGATACTCAAGCATTCTCTTGTTTTGAAGGAAACTCAGGCAGGAAAACTAACCGCATCGGGTTCAATCCGTCTATCTGGAAGGGGATTTATTACTACAGTCTTCAAGTTATTCGGTTGTTTGTAACTTTGTCTTGCATTTATCCAATGTTTCGCTCTCATTTCGGCTCGATCTCAGTATTTCAGAGCACCTGTTGAGTTGAACGGTGTACTTCTAGAACCAGGGTGTTTGCGATTCTTCATAGAAATACAGAACATAATCCGTGTTAAGTTGCAGTCGCTAGAAGGAATGAATTCCGTCAAAGTCCTCTGTAACACCGTCTATCTTGTAAATGAGATTATCAGTTAACATGAAAAGGGAAACTCGATTCGGATGGAGAATTTCCCCAGCAAAGCTCGCTGAAAAGAAGGTAGGTTGGCGATAAATCTGGTTGTCTATTGCCAAAGTTGATTTTCAAGGGTCTAAGTATCCAGAAGTTACTATAGAAAATATTAACATACTGGGCTGACTACAGCATCCGCCAATCTTAGTGTGAATGAGATAGGCTCACGATGATTGGTTGTTTCGAGCCACACCTTCCGTACATTAATGACCGATGTACAATTGTTGTGGTTATTTTCATGGATGTTCGATGTGGAACGCATAGAGATAACCTGTTGAATTGCCTAATATCAAGAGATGATGCAGACGGACTGACTAGCTCAGTTGATGCTATACTGTCAAAGCTATGGGAGAACTGATGGACCAACTATTCCCACGTGTGCCATGACTCAGCAGAGACTTGCAACTTGCCTGACAAGATATCACCGTCGAAAATGCAGCAGCGCCGGCTATGTTCGGGACAACTATCACAGTTGGCATACACGTCACCAGGACAGTCTTTCTTTAGGGACAGAACTCGCTTTCGCACATTATACTGAGTTGGGATGTGGAAGGAGGAGGAAGAGGGCGAAGTGAAAGTAAGATAGGCGGAAAGGCCTTTTGCGCGCAAATGCCGTCTTTAATACGTGCCTTTTCCGCTGGCTACTCGATGTTCTATGAATCAGGCTCTACTCTGCCGGAATTCGTTAAACCGCTGATGATGTCACTAGTGCACTTTGATCAGAAAACATCCTATGTCCACTCTGTCTTACTGAGGATACCTGCCTGCATTGGAAAATTCTCATATTATACCACAAAATTTGTATGGTTGAATTGTCCTTGGACGTTGCTTGATTCTGATTATCCTGGCTTCTTGATATCACGTCTTGTTTCGAGATTGCATTTCGTAATTGCCTTCATCTAAAACTTGTGACACCAGTATTTATGCAAGTGACATTTCTTTGATTTAACGTCAGCATAACCGGCGAGGGCGGGTTTCGGGATGATACAGCTTTTGATGGCCTGCTGTGAAGAGATGTTCTGCGACTCCGCTGGCTCGAAGACGATCTGAATACTCACCAGTTTCTCTCATAAATCGATGGTTCAAGAGTCGCAAATATAAATGTTTTTACAGATTCTGCGAATAATACGATCTGAAGATCATTTACCCTATTTATCCTCATCTTAATCTTGATATGCGATACATAAGGAGGCATCGATTCTGCATAGTGCCGCGTCATTGGAAATAGGTCACTTGAGCATAGATCATACAATTATGAAACAACCTCAGCTTCCACGCCTGCCAACGTCTCAGGTACTCTAACTCCAATTCATTGAAAGTGCTCCTTAAGCATAACTGTACGGTCAAAAGAGATATTAGGTCATTCAAATCTGTGTCCGAAGCCTTTTCGCTGTTTCTTTGTTTCTTTACATTGCTTCGAGTTGGGTACTAGTCAACGTAACCAAAGTAAGTAGCAAAGTACGCCAAAACATGAATATCTAAGATGTCAATATTTGAACGGGTTAGGTCAAAATGACCACGCAGTCTCTCAATCACGTCAATCACTGTATGAGACTATGTCACTTTAGTCCAGGACTCAGAGGTCCATCCACTGATCAGCTGCAGGCTCAACTCTCTCCCGGGAGATAGCACACACAATTTTGATTCACCCGTATATAATCGCTAGCAGATCAGTTGTGTTTCTAGGCCGCATCCTGCATTAATTCATAAGAAGGCGGTGGATACAGTGGGTGAGCGAGCTTGTCTCACTCAGGGGCGACGACCTACGTGCTCCCGAGCCTACGGCATTTCCGAGCTTCTTTCGCTTTGAGAAATTACAACCCAACAAGGATTTTGCTGTGCCGTCAATTGGGGTACGGGAAATCGATTTCGCCCACTGCCCTTCCCATGTTCGTTCAGCGAAATTTGAAGTCTACTCCTCGGCTCCCAACTGGCAAAGAAGTAGATGGAGAGAACAGTCCTGCCGATCAGCTCCCCGGCACATACACGGATGTGGCTCGAATAGAATGTTATCAATGTCTTAGCGGCCGCGTTCTTGGTATTTCTCCGCCCTGAGAGCATCGGTTGCGCAAATGCGCAACACGCCAACTGCCGTTGGTGCACCATGCACGTCTTGCGCAGCCTTCCCACGTGCCTTCTAAGCCCGCCCGATCTCGGAGCTACTTGAGATTTCTGTTGAAAGAGCAATCGCGTAAGATAGCTCGGGGTATTCTACGGACTCGGGGCCATGGACTTTCATGTGTGCTTTTCATAAGGAACCGAATCAGCCAATAGGTGTCGCGGGCTTCGGATTGCGGCTCTGAAGAATGAATACCAGAATATGTCTTGGCACTCTTGGCGATGCGACCCCAATCCGTACGAAAAATAGCGCTTGTAGCGTCTTTTGACAAGAACTGTACATTGGAAGCGCCGATGAACATAGCCTCAGGTCTCAACAGCTTCACTCAACAGACTGGATGCGGGAGACCAATTTCGTTCTTCCACTCTACATGGAGCTCGGGAAAATTGTTTCCTTCTTCTCAACAGATCAAGCTGGATGATGTTCACTGCAGGTTGCATGCAGACGCAGCATTAAGGACTCTATCCCGCCAATTTCAGGCCAGCACCCAAGTCTTCATACAACACAGCCCAATATCCTCCAGATTGCATAAGAAAGTACTCTGTGCGACGAATTCCGTTCAGCGCGAAAACAAAACACCTCAACTTTCAAAGAGCGATATCGCCATCAGGGGTTGAGAAAATTCTGTTCCTTGGCTGTAATATAGAAAGATAACGGTTCCAAGAGATGCCCAGGCGGGAGGCTCAAATTTTCAAGGCTAAGCGTCTTGCCAAGAGCCGTGGCCGAGACCCTAGGGCGACGGTTGCCGGGCCTTGGCAAGCCATCTCACGCGCCAAGGGGTAAAGAGCCTCAGCGGATTTATTAAAGTTTCGGGAACAATTCAGGCAAAAGAGAATGTTTCGATCTTCGCCCAGGAACTCAACGTCCTCTAACCTTTGCTCTACACTGCTACTCTTTCTTCAAATATTGAAAAGTGTGAAGAGCAGGCAAGAAAAGAGCGAAGGAAAGCAGGAATTCTCTGGAAGAACTGGGAGAGCTCGGCGTCCTCTTGATGAGTGTTTTTTTCTCAGTCCAAGTGCTCAGGTTTCACGACCAGGGGAGGAAGAATGAATACGCTAACGGGGCTCGACATGCTAACGGGTTTACGGCGGCATTTGAAATGCACAGACACAGTTGACATCATACACCGCGCCCACCGAGTCAAGCAACTTTGCCTCCTCTGCATAATCCGCTATCCAACACGTCCACAACCAGAAAAAGTTTACCTGACGGGTGAGCGTATTGCCGCCAATGAGTGAAGCCGCTTACATAACTCGACACAATCATCCCCGGAAGAGTCCATTGCCCTCATCAGACTTGGGGATCCTCGTCTCTGCATATGCAGCCAACGGAATTGGCATTCGGCCCGTCGGCTGGCTTGGCCCCCTCGGGGGTTATTAGCTTACCCAGAGCCGCAATCGGAACTTCCAAAAGCAGGGTCCGCCCTTCGGCCCTTGCCCGGCGCCTGGAGGGCAGATTCGAAATGCGTAGCTAATGCAAATGTGTCAACCATGGAACTCGAATTCCTGGACAAAGCAGAAGAGAAGAGGGGGCGCACGGGGGAGGACGTCCGTCCGAGATATACAATGCTGCTTATTCGCTGTCCCCGGCCGCGTTCGTCTCCACGGGGAAAAACACAACCCCGGGCCAGAGTGTCACGCACCCCGTTGATATTCGGTGGACCTGGAGACGGATGTGACGGAGAACCACTGCATTCCAGCCAGATACTGCAGAATACTCCAAAGTACCGAGTGACATTTTGACGTACGCATCCTCTCAGATGACAGATTTACTCCAGTCGTCAGCTGCAAGCCCCAGATTGTTTCCCCCAGAGTATGGGTCTGTGAGGGAGATACGGATTATGGGGGTTTATGGGGATGCTCCGCTTTGATAGACATACTTATGGATCACGACCGCAGTTAGGGTCTCAAATTTTTTCGTCTCTTCTCTCTTCATCCTCGAGAACACCCTTTCTCGAAGAACACAACATCTCTTCGACAACTCACTTACACCAACTTATCTGAGCTGTTGTAATAGACGGACACACAATGGGTCTTCTCACCATCGTCGAAGAGAGGCCGACGCCGCCCTCGGTCTACAACTGGCGCATCTACGTGTTGGCCGGCATCGCGTCATGTGGATCTTGCATGATTGGCTACACGAGCGCCTTTATTGGCACCACCATCGGTCTCGACTCTTTCAAGGCCGAGTTCGACCTCACCAACAAGACGACCGCCGAGAGACACGTTATCAGCGAGAACATCGTCTCCCTCTTCGTTGCCGGCGCGTTCTTCGGTGCTCTCCTTACCTACTGCCTCAGTCACTTCATTGGTCGCAAGCGTTGTTTGGCCATCGGAGCAACCGTCTTCTCTTTGGGAGCGGCCTTGACCTGCGGCGCCAACGGCAACCTTGGACTCGGAATTCTCTACGCTGGACGTGTCTTTTCGGGTTTGGGAACTGGAGTTGCTTCTGTGAGTCTTCAAGATGCCCCTGAGTGACTCATCTCGGTCATCGACCGGTTCTCCACATGATGGGCAGCAACAAATTGCAGTGTAACAATTGCTAATACATGGGCCTCGTAGAACATTATCCCCGTTTACATCTCGGAACTCTCGCCGCCGGCTATTCGTGGTCGTCTGGTCGGTCTCTACGAACTTGGCTGGCAGATTGGCGGTTTGGTCGGATTCTGGATCAACGTGAGTTCTTACACACAATTCTTCAACATTCGAACTCTATAAGTGTCACTAACACGCTACTCAGTTCGGTGTTGAGAACAGTGTTCCCGTCGGCCGCTCGCAATGGATGATCCCTTTCGCAGTCCAGCTGATTCCTTCTGGTCTCCTTTTGGCTGGCTCCTTGTGGATCCGTGAGTCTCCCCGATGGCTCTTCCTCCACGACCAACGCAAGGAAGCCATGGAGAACTTGTGCTGGATCAGACAGTTGGAGCCCAATGACGTTTACATTACCGAGGAAATTGCCGGTATCGACAAGATCTACGAGTCCACCAAGGCCACCGTCGGATTTGGCTTCTGGCAGCCCTTCAAGGCCCTCGGTGCCCGTCCCTACCTGCAGTGGCGTCTGTTCTTGGGCTGCATGCTGTTCTTCTGGCAAAACGGCTCCGGCATCAACGCCATCAACTACTACTCCCCGACCATTTTCTCCAGCATCGGTGTTGAGAGCAACACTGTCAACCTGATGACTGGTATCTTTGGTGTCGTCAAAGCCGTCATGACCTTTGTCTGGCTTCTGTTCCTCGTCGATCAGCTCGGTAGAAGGAAGCTTCTTCTCATTGGTGCCATCACCGGTTCCCTCTGCATGTGGGTTATCGGAGGCTACATCTGCATCGTCGAGCCGACCAAGAACCCTCAAGACCACTTGACCGGCAGTGGTATCGCTGCCATCGTCTTCTTCTACCTCTGGACCGCCGTCTACACCCCTACCTGGAACGGTACACCCTGGGTTATCAACTCTGTAAGTTTACCTGCTCTGTGGTAATGGTTGAGTTACAACTAACAAACTCTACAGGAATTCTTCGATCCCAACTTCCGTTCCTTGGCAAGTGGTGCGACCACCGCCAGCAACTGGCTGTTCAACTTCCTTGTCTCCCGTTTCACGGAGCAGATGTTTGCAGCCATGGGATACGGCGTGTACTTCTTCTTCGCCGCCCTGTCATTCCTCGCCTTCTTCTTCGCCTTCTTCCTCATCCCCGAGACGAGCGGTGTTCCCCTGGAGAAGATTGACAGACTGTTCGAGATCAAGCCCGTCTGGAGAGCCAACGAGACGTTGATGGCCCAGCTGAGGGAAGAGGAGGTACAGTTCCGCACAGACATCAAGGACGAGGTTATTCACAAGGAGCAGGGCACGTCGTCGGAGTCGGACTCCCCATGAAAGATGAAAGAAGCTGCGCTGGCAAACGCAGATATACACACATGACATGATTACGAACAGTACATAGACATGGAGATAGAACGGCATTTTGATTTATCGCGAAGGGGCATCTGTTTGCGAATACCCGGCATCGAGTTATCTGCAAGCTTGAATAAAAGACATTTCATGGCTCGAACCCACCTGGTCTCTTCGTGGCGCACTTGATTTCTCACAGCTGCTCTTGACGAGCTTGTCTACCAACTTACTCCTCAATCTTGATCAAAGGGCACTTATGGCTACGTCCGATAACTGAACAGCGACATCAACACGACAACAAAGTTAGCATGTAGACTGTGAGAGGCATTTTCTCAGCGCATCTTGTTGGCAACGCGCAGTCTTTTTCCCGTATTGCCGAGATTCCCGATACTCAACCGCAGCATTCAGAGGTGCCACAAACTTGCCAGTGGAGCCGAAAGCAAGTACAGCTGGATACTATCGTGGCAGTCCCGGTGGCAATGACTATGTGGCAACGGGGCCAGCCCACCTGCCGGAAAACTTGGTAAAATCTCAGAAATCGCTCAGTCAGCGACTCAGCGCCCGGATTTTTGCGCTGAACAATGGCCAATAGCGGCTTATTTCCGGGGTCAGCGCCCTAGGCCGCCCTGCCCGTTTGAAGTTGGTTCGGATCTAACCAGAAGATCAGTTGAACAGGGCTATCCAAGCGGTCGATCAATGCCAAGTACGCCTGCCGCTAAGGAGCAGGAACTACCATTAAGCGGCTGCATGAAAAAGGAATCGTTTTGGTGTTAATTTCCGGCGGGATAAAATCCTCCTAGCGGTTCCGGACATCGCTTCATTGTACTTGAAAATTTGGCGCCTGTTAAACTAACTGCCTACATAAGCACGCGCGACTGCAACCCAAATATGTCTGAACAAATGCGAAGCCAGAAAGGATACTTCGTATTTGAGTTAAGAGTTGATCGAGACTCAAGCTTTTTTCAATGAGTCACTGGGTCTTGTAGAACCTAGCGCTCCATAGGGACAGCCTGCCTATTCCCTAAGGGCATTGTTAGATTTGATGATTCTTTCACGCTCCGATGCATTACAACTTCCCAAGGCTGCAATCCCTTGTGTGCCAGAATGCCCGATCTGTAGGTCGGATCGGAGACTTATTCTGAGAACGTCAAGAGTCTTGCACGCTATGCAACAGGATTAGGAAATAAGTTACGCATGCTCCGAAGTGCTGCTCCGATGGCTACGGCTGGTGCCGACTGCCCCGCCCCGATCGGTCGGGGTACAATTCCGGGGGCATGGCATAAATCGGGATTCGGTTTCCGTGCCAGACTGCCCGATCCGGCCGGCGATATCTAGGCTGAACGACGCACCGCCCAACAAAGACATCGTCATCATCATCATCATCATCATCATCAACATCAACATCAACATCAACATCAATATCGTGCCAGGGGATATCATTCTCAGTGTGAAAACTCGCGTCAACACACTCTGTGTTCTATCTCATCATCATTTTTGACGTGTACCTGTGTATAACAACTGAATCAAATTACAAGAAGTAACGACCATGTCTACCGTATGTGGCCTGCTCTCCACCCCTATGGATCATCAGATACTTTCCATCCGCTGTTGAACACAACGCCGCAATTTTCTGCTGACCAGCCCGTGCAATACAGTCAAACATGCGATCAATCAACCATGTCGGCGTGTCCGTCCCGGACATTGAAGCAGTAGTGAAATGGTACAGCGAAATCATGGGCTTTGTCCTCGTAAATGGCAAAATCAAGCACATCAAGCGCTCCGAGACCCCGGACGCGGGAATTTTTAAGATTTATCCAGACTCTTTGCAGGAGGTCAAGCTAGGATTCATGGCGACTGGCAACGGTGTCGGGTTTGAAGTTTTTGAGTTCGTCGACCCGGCTTACAAGAAGGCCGAAGACTTCGCTTACAACGTGGGCGGCTTCTTTCACTTGTGCGTGACGGATGCTGAACCAGAGGCTCTGCTGGCTCGGGCTATACAAGCCGGGGCCAGCAAGATTGGGGAACCGACACTGAATCCGCTGAGCGGCTCGAGGTGTCTGTACTTTAGAGATCCTTGGGGCAACGTGTTGGAGATTTTGGATATGAGCTTTGACAGGATGAGTGCGCTGGATGCAGTTTGACAACCAACGTCGATGCGGTTGCAATCGCATCTGTAGTTGTGTTGGCCATAGCCTTATGGTGTCAGAGAATGAAAGATGACTCTCCACATTAGCTCACAAAAATACCTATGAAAAATTGACAGTAGTAGTATCAGGAACAGCGAACTGTGATAAGGGACTAGCAGAGGTCTTCTCTACCAGTCCAGGCCACACCATCATCCTTCTCTCTTGCCTCTTCATACCTGTTCTTACGAGAAACGCCTTCTGGCAAACAATTCAGACAACATTGGAAGACTAATTACCATCTCTCTCGCAAAGTTTGAAATGACGGCGCTTAGCTCGACTCGCGTCCGGTTGTTCCCACTTCACCGGGTCAAACTCGGTGCTTGTTTCTGCAGCCTACGCCAGTGTTCTTTCGATTCTCATACTGGAACTCGGCAGCTGCATGCCATACTTCCTTCTTTGATTCTGCGTTGTCCCTGTTGCTTGATTCTTAGGCTATTTACTCACTCTCACTACCCTAGAGTGCTGTCATATGTAACGTCTGGCGCGAACCAAGAGACCGAAAGATTAGGCAAAACAAGGCAATCGGGCCTTTCCCGGCGGATAGTCTGGGGAACCCGCCTCCAGGCTCAGCACCCACACCTTCGTACTTATGCTTAACGAATACGTTCTCTAGAGACTGTAAGCCATCGACCAATCTCACACACGCCCGTCTTCCCCACACACTTGCAGGAATTATTGACTTGCACTTATACCGAAGCCATGGGCCCAAATATCTCGATATGGAAATCGTTACCGCCCTCACGTTGATGGCGAGCTAGCATTGCTAGAACTCTTCGATGGTGGAATCATCACAAGCCTGCATTTGCTGTTGCCTAAATTATTCATTAAGTTGCTCTTCAACTAAGTGTTTTCTGCACCATCGGTCAACTGAGTGTGACTAGAGCCATGGTGCCGAAGTTCTAGATAAAAGTGTATAGCCTTCCACTGGCCTTTGAATCTCATTCAAACCGCAGGAAAGGAGCTGAACCACTAATAAATACGAGCTACCTTACTCCGAGATTCATGACCAAATAACCAGTCAAACTGCCAGCCCGAGTCTAACTCGTCACATCAGTCAGGCCATCCTCCCAAACATCCAAACTCTTCCCCGGACGCCACAGTCCATCGAAAGAAGTAAGATGCGGGATGACATGCGGGGAAACGTGGGTGTACCCCTCAAAGACGATGTGTCGTGGTTACATGGATTCTCGGCTCCGAATATTTAGGCTCATTCTATACGCGTATAACGTTGCGATTCTGCTGCCTTCCCAAATACGCGGGTGACAGCCTCCAAGCTTCGATCGAAGTAACCCCGGGAAATGTCGAGCTGTTTATCAGTCTAATGCAGAGTTTGTCACTTTTGATCCGAGTATTCGTACTAGGAAGTCTTGGGCTTGTGGAAAGATGATGTCTGGTGGTGAACTCAATTGATGCTACACGTGCCGCGATCTCAATTTGAGCTTCCTACAGGGAAGTTGAGTTGTTTTGACAGCTCGTTGGTGGGCATTCCATCTTTACTGCCCTTCGCAAAAGCCAATCTCATTCTGGGTTGGTAAAAGGTTAGGATACAAAATGGGAAACGAAAGTTTCTTCTTTAAGACATGTGTCGCAGTCACCAGAATGATAGCTTCATAGCTCTAGCTGCCCCTGATCAAGCTGCCCACCGAGCCGACTACGACCTGATAAATAACCCGAAATACCGAGTGTCACTACAAAGACTTTTCCCCGCCTCATCGTCTGTACGGTCGATCTCTATCCTAGTCTAAAGTGCATCGGCCCGATATCATAGCGTTGTTGACCTCGTAATCCTTCGACTACGTTGCGTACCTTGCTACCTTTACATGCGAATCACCATACGATGACTACTAGTCCGGGTTCTCTCTTTAGTAAGAGTGACCGAGGCTACCTAGGTGCGTGGATATCTCCTCTCGACGGGCAAGAGACTCTAGGGAGTATAAAATATCCTCTCTCTGGCTTTCTGTCTAAAGAGGTCACAGCTATGGGCATCTCGAACTACCGTCCTGTCTGGTGTTATCTCAACTTACTTTGAACAAACGTAGCTGGGACCATCGCCAATCATGCTCTGGACATCATTCCTCCTCCTCGTCGGAGCCCAGCTCAGCCTAACAAGCCAACTTCACCACCGATCCTCCAACAATGGTTCGTCCCATACCCCATCAGCATCCTGTCTTCACAACCATCTCAAGCTCCTGATAGCTAACCGTCAATAAAAAGGCACACGAGACAGACCCACAGCCCTCGCCCTCGCAAACACCCTCCTATCTCACCTCACCCTCGAAGAAAAAGTCTCCATGATCACGGGAAACTCCTCCGCGGGCAACTGCATCGGCGTCATCGCGCCCATCCCCCGCTTAGGCTTCAAGGGGATCTGCATGCTCGACGGGCCCAGCGCCGTCAACCGCGCCGACCTCGTCAGCGTTTTCCCTTCGGGTATCACTGCGGCGGCGACGTGGGACCGTGAAATGATTTATCGTCGAGGGATTGCAATTGCGGAGGAGTTCAAGGGGAAGGGAGGGCATGTGATTCTTGGGTACGTTTAGTCTGATGCATCCTCTCTCGATGAGAAATGCGTGATAAAGAACCATCATATTGACAACACATCTCGAACAGTCCTTCAACAGGCCCCATGGGTCGCGCAGCCCTGGGCGGCCGCAACTGGGAAGGCTTCGGCCCGGACCCGTACCTAGCAGGCGTCACCATCGAGAACACAATCACAGGCATGCAATCCACCGGCGTACAGACCTGCTCGAAGCACTACATCGCCAACGAGCAAGAGACGAAGCGCTCCAACACGACGGTCAACGGCATGGTCATCGAGGCCATCTCGTCCAACGTCGACGACAGAACCGTCCACGAGCTCTACCTCTGGCCCTTCGCCAACGCCATCAGGGCCGGCACGGCGTCCATCATGTGCTCGTATAACCGCTTCAACCAGACGTACGCGTGCGAGAATAGTCACCTGCTAAAGGAGCTCTTGCGAGATGAGCTTGGGTTTGAGGGGTATACTGTGTCGGATTGGTTCGCGACGCATTCTACCGCGGACTCTATCAACAACGGCCTGGACCTCGAGATGCCGGGCGCCGTGCCGGGGAGCTACGCCGGCGCCGCCACCTTCTTCGGCGACAAGGTTCTCGAGGCTGTAGCCGACGGCACGGTCAAAGAGTCCCGTATTGATGAAATGGTCCGCAACATCTTGACGCCGTATTACCTCCTAGGCCAAGACGCAGACTCTTACCCCTCGCCCGACCCCTCCCTCCGTTTCGTGACCCTCTTCCAAGAAGTCGGCCTCCAAGTCGCCAAAGACACGGGCTTCATCCCCGACGGCTTCGTCTTCACCCACGGCCGCGACGTCCGCGGCGACCACGCGAAGCTCATCCGCGAAATGGGCTCCGCCGGCACAGTCCTCCTCAAGAACGTGAATCAGACCCTACCCCTGTCGAAGCCTAAGATCATCGGCGTCTTCGGCAACGACGCGGGCGAGATGACAAACGGCTTCCTCCGCCCCTCCGAGGTCTCCGAAGACACCAACACAGGCACAATGATCATCGGCGGTGGCTCCGGCACAGGCCGCCCGTCCTACGTGATCTCCCCCCTCGCCGCCGTCCGCGCCAAAGCCGCAGAGTACGGTGCGGAAGTCCTCTACGTGACCAACAACGACGTCCTCGCGGCCAATGACTTCCGGGGTGTTTACCCCCCGCCAGAAATCTGTCTCGTGTTCCAGCAGACGTTCGCTAGCGAGAGCTTTGATCGCACGTCGTTCGAGCTTGACGGGAACTCGACGGCTGTGATCAACAACGTGGCTGACTTCTGCGCGACGACAGTGGTGGTAACGCACTCGGGCGGCGTAAATACCATGCCGTGGGCAAACCACACCAAGATTGGCGCGATCCTGGCGGCGCATTACCCAGGCCAGGAGAGCGGCAACTCCATCGTCGATCTTCTCTGGGGCGACGTCGCGCCTTCAGGCAGGCTTCCGTACTCCGTTCCGCGCAACGAGGAGGACGCAGGCCCCGCGATTGTGAATCTTACGCAGCCTGTCGATGATCCGCTTGCGTGGCAGGCTGATTTCACCGAGGGCCAGATGATTGACTACCGCCACTACGACGCGCTTGATATTGATCCGTTGTATGAGTTTGGCTTCGGGCTGACGTATACGACGTTTGCCGTGGTCGACAACCAGATCGGCGTGAGCTTCATCGCAGAAAACTCGTCCATCGCTGCTCGCCCGGACACGGCTATCCCGGTTCAACCTGGCGGACATCCGCAGCTTTGGGAGGACCTCATCAGCGTCAAGGCGTCGATTTCGAACACGGGCAACAGGACTGCCTTTGCTGTGCCGCAGCTCTATGTTTCCTTTCCGGAGTCTGCACCCGAACGCACGCCAAAGAAGGTCCTGAGGGGCTTTGAGAAGATTCAGATCGAGGCGGGCGGCTCGGCTCAAGCTGAGTTCCGGCTGATGAGGCGGGATGTGAGCCTGTGGAATGCGTCGGACAAGGCGTGGGTGATTCCGGAGGGCGACTTTACGTTCCGGGTCGGCTTCAGCTCAAGGGACTTGCCGGCGGAGAAGGTCTTCTCGGTGCTGGGGTGATGATTGAGAATAGGGCGGCGAGGTTGACAGGTGTTGCTAAAGCCGCATCCTATTGTTCAGAGTCGAATCAGCCATCTGCCTGGCCCGAAGTTGACTGATGCCCATCTATCATACCGGCTGTCGGATCAGTGGTCGTCAGATTAATGGAATGGTGCCTCGGCGCGAAGACAGTGGCAGGGCCTTGGATGAATCATGAGATCCGTTGGCGAGTAGAACATCAAACCCATTCATCTTCCCTTCTCGTGGCATTTCATTTCTCGGCTCCGTCAAGCCTGACGAAGTTCGTGTTGCACAACAATAATGGTAGAGGTTAATATTGTTCAGCCACAACAAGCCCTTGGGTACAGTGTCGATGAGGATGCCATCC